AAAAAAAAAAAAAAAAAAAAAAAGAGAGATGTGACATGTGTGTAGCAAAGGGATCAATGGATTGTTGACACTTACACAAGGGCACAGTAAGAGTGAAAGTGGCTGGTTTGAGTTGGTCATATGGAATTCAATGAAGAGGACCCCACGTGTTCTATATGGCACCACTCCATCTTTGTCTTGATTGGCTTTGGTGTTGCTCTATGCCATGCAACCAACCACCATGAATATTGCATGTACTGTCGTTCAGGACTAGGACTAGGCTTGTGGACTTTAGAGTCATATCTAAGTTGCCATGTACTTATCACGTGATATTATTGTTTCTAGTTTTGAATTTAGAACGACATGGATAAGTATGGTTTTACAAAATTCAAATATAGAGGCTCACATAGGTGTTAATGTGGATTTTTGTGTATCACAGTCATAATATTCAAATGGTTAGATGTGACATCTTTCTCCACGATTCAGTTTTCCAAATTTCTAAGAGTCGAGTCCCTTAATTAAGTAATGTGAATTATTCGCCATTATATTTAATAATTATATTCACAATTTTAATATATCTCTCAAAATTATACTTTTATTAAAACTTTTGAATCAATAAAAAATGATGGAATGAAGAGAAATGAAGTGTAATAGAATTAATGAAACTTATTTATTATATTTTTTATTTTTATTTTTCTTCTCCTTAATTTGGAATAAATTAAATGGAAATGAGATTTTCTTCTATTTTATCACAATTCACAACATATCCATTTTTTTTTTGTAAATCCTGGATTATTTTTATACCAAAAATCAAGGATTAAGTTCTCATGATATTGAAATTTGTTTAAGGGAACAAATATTTTTCTTAAACACTTTATAGGATAATAAGTGCATATTATATTTTATAGTTTAAGAGAAAATTGCAGTAGATTTCTTCAACATTTTATAGGATAGCAATGAGTACTCACGGTTGCACGGTTCGTTTAATTAAATATAAAAAAGATAATATTTTTTTTTCTTGAAAGTAAAGCTCTAAGAGAAATAAAAATAAAAATAAAAAACTCTTATGATAATATGCAAGCGCACCTATCTTTCTTCCCTTTTATTAATTAATAAATTTAGCACAAATTTTCCTTAAACAATTTAGAATTATGACATACATATCTTATATATATTATAACTATTCAATTCTTCCTTACTCAACTACTAAGTTAACCCTAGTATTTATATATGTATAGATTTGAAACATTATTTGTTTTAGTTAAAATAAACAACTAATCAAACTTATATACTATTTATATTTCATTTTACGTTTTAAATTAAATGAGTAAAATACTTTATTTACATAATAACTATGTTCCTTCCTCCATCAAATATATACACTCAATTTTAATTAAATATAGAGTGCTTGTATTTAAAGTAGTCACTTTTTTTATGTAATTATTTTATTGGTGTAAAATATTCATTAATTTTATTGATGATTAGTTTATTGAGTAACTTAGTAGATTATCTTTAGTAAAAAAAAATTTTTTAACTATTTTTTTATTCATGAAACTCGAATCCGAATCTATATTTAAGTAACACGTAAAATCTTGAGGATAAAAAAATTACATCCTAGCCAGAAAAAACGCCATATAGTTTACGTCCAACCAACTTCCTTAATGACATTACAATTGAGATGAAAACAATTACATTTGCAGTGTTATGGTAATAGTTTAATATTATGTGTCTCGCAAATGAGTATATGTATTAGTTAAGGATATTGATTATAAGTAAATATTTTAATTATGTAAAAAAAATGTTAAATAATTTTAAAGTTCTTAGTATATTTTTTTATATAATTTCTAATAAATTATTTTTAAAGAAAAATTATTAAAATTTTAGGCTAGTTAACTTTTGGAGACTCGTCAGAATGAGGGTATGCTTTAAAAGTTTAAAAAACACTTATAAAATTATTTAAAAATTATCCATTAACAAATTTTTTACATTGATAACAAAATTCAAAGTCACTTTTTTTTATTTTTTAAATATGAGTTGCATTCTATAGAATCAATCTTTGTTGAAATTTGACAAATTTTGCTCCACTTCTTCATGCCTTAAATTATATTACTAGGATTCTATACTACTCCAACTATTAGTGTGCAATTGAAAGAAAATCCGAAATTTAAAATGAAACATTCTAATTTAAGGCATGTTATTGCTGGTAATTAATTGTTAAAGTGTATAATTAATTGTTCGTCTTTGCTAATTGAAGGCATGTTAAATTAATAAATAGAGAGGAATAAAATTAGTTGGGCCGTAACCCGTAAGTGAATGGGTTATTCCTTTACTAGGCCACAAAACCCAGGATCCAGTAAGCAAGCTAAAATAGTAGCTGGACCTTGTGAGAGCTGAACTACTCAAGTGAAATTACAACACCAAGGCTATGAAATTTTTTGGACAAAAAAAAATGCTTTGAATATTTGAGAAAACATAAGAATAAATATTCACCTTTATTTTATAAACGTTTATTTATATTTTTAATTGTATGTGATTAATATCTCAAGTTTAATTTTAGTTAATTAATTATCTTAATTTTTAAAATTATACAAATTTGATTCCTCATTAATCTTCTTCTACCTAAACTTTTAAAATAGCATTATACGCAAAAAATTTATGAATTGAATCAATTAAATTATATTTTTACTTAAACTCACCTGCCAAAACATCCTATTCCATTCAAAAATAAAATAAAATTCCCCCTTTTAAAACCATGCACAATCTTGTATCTTGTAAAATATTTCAAATTTTAAGAAGTTTTTAGTAAAAAAAATTTCTTGTAAACTTTTAAAATTGTTTTATATTGCAAATTCATCATAAACATAAAATATTTGGATAAAAAAATAATATTTTGAAGATTTTAAGAATAAGAATAGACGGGATCGAAGACAAAATTTGTTTAACAAGTTAAAAAAATTGAAGATTTTAAGTATCAAATATTTGATAAGAAGACATAAAAATAGGCAATTAAGTTTATTATATGTCGTAAATTCAATTACTCACTCTTAAACCATTTTTTAAAAGAAAAATTTATCTTTCTTTTTTAATTATGTCAATTATTCCATTTTAATATTTTTTTTTTTATACTTTTTTAATATGTTAAACTTCTAGTTTACGTTTTGTGTATGCAACTTTATTAAATATTTAGTAAAAAAATTTTATTGCCTATAATAATCCTATTTGACTTAAAATTGATTGCCTCTAATAAAGGAGACTTGTGGTCTAAACAAAATTTTGTCTCAAATTTAACATGTGTTTGGTATCCATTTTCTAATACAATTTTTTCATTTCTCTCCACGTTTAAATATAGATTTACATAGAAACTAATATTTATCACTTTAAGTTAAATCTGAAAATTCACGAACTCGAATGTAAATATAGGCTCACTCTTGAACCAAATTTAAATTTAAAAACTTTTTTATGATGAATTGTATTTTAAAATTATAATAATTTCAAGTTCAATGAATCTCAACTTAAATTTAACTTGAAATTTTTTAACTTTAACTTGTAATATTTAATTATTAAACACTTTTTTTTTATGTTGTATTCTTTCTTAAAATATGTGATGTTATTATATTAATTAAAATGAACATTCTTTATTTATTTTTCATTTTAAATTTAATTTCATTTAAACTTAAAATGTCTATATACAACCAACGTGTTGCTGGTTCAAGAAAAAATGGACTTAGATCTTTAAGTAAAAAACATGATTAAAAAGAAAAAAAAATCATTAAAAGTGATTTAAAAGTTATCCAACAACAAAATCAATAGATAGTTTGGATGTGCTTGATATACACTCATGTATAATACAATGTCAAAATGAATGTTTAAATTAAGGTTGTAGGTTTTGAAATCTTCTCAGTTATAGATGTACACGTCCTCGATATATACATGGAGAAGTTTCTATTGTATTTTTAAAATTTGTAGACAAGTCACTTAAGATAGTATGTAATACATGAATGAGGAGATCCTTTGATAATGTTATCAGCAACAACAATTGTATTTTTTGTGTTAACATTGACGTACATATACGTGTGATTTCTATTTTATACATGCAACTTGGTACTTTGATACTTAAGAATTGCTTTCATGCATATTGAAACATTACGAATCATATGATAATTCGTCATTTGAAAGCAAATAAAATGGTGGGCAGAAAAAAAAAAAAAAAAAAAAAAGGCATTTTTTTTTACATATATATTTTTTCAACTGTCCTGACTCCACAATGATCCTAAATCAAGATAAGAAGTCAATCAAATTAAAGTGAAATGATGTGAGAAAACGTGTCATTTTGGGATTGGGTCATGTCTAGACTTTTATTTATTTATATTTATTTCCTTTCTTTCTCTTGCAGCCCGGGTCAAACGGACCTAAGAATGTGATTGTTTTTGTCTTCTAAAATGAGTGATCATCTATGATTCTTCATTTAATGAATATGATATATGCAATCACTTTATTTATTAGATAAATAGTTTAATATTTAGTAAAATTTCGTTAAATAAGGGTTTATTTATAAACTTGATTGTAAAAATTATTAAAAGAAACTTATGAGATGATCACAATTCATTTTTGTAAGCCAAGTTTTCCAAACATTTTTCCTAATACCTATTCAAGTTAATAATGAAATTGAGCGAGTAATTAATTTAGATTGAATGGTTACTTCTTTATGTAATTGAATTTTTAGTTAGATTTAAATTTTTTTATTTTATGCTAATTAGTTTTTGTCCTGCTAAAATGTATCGTGAATACACTTTTTAAAAATATAAATAATAATATGAAAATTTGCAACATTTAATGTATTGGAACCTGAAATTTTTGCTTTTATTGATATAATATTTTAAAATAAAAAATATTTTTTTACTACACTTGTAAAAGAAAATAAAAAATATTTTAATACAATACTACTTGTCAATATTTATCTTATTTTATTAGATCATTAAAAATTATTAATTGCTTAAAATCTATTTGTTTGAAAAAGTAACAATGGGACTTGTAGATGCTGCTTATGATTCTCAAGATCAGATTATTCTTTTGTTTTTAACTTCCCCCAACACTGTGTTTTATTTTGTGTTGAAAATTTATTAACCTACCAAATAAATATTAAGTGTCGATTTATGGGTTGGCAACCAATAAACATGCCACAAACGAATTCATTAAGCAAAAATGGGTTGACCACGGATTGGTCATCAAGCAACCATAGTTGATAATTACCGATTGATACATGTATTCGTTCTTGAGATTAAGTAAACTTTCATTTTAGTTATTTAAATTGTAAGTATTAGTTACTTTAATTTTATAAAATTAAAAGAAGGACAAAATGATTAAAAAAATTATAAAATAAAAAATTTAACGTCATCCACACTATCATCTCACGATTTACTCCTATAAATTGTAAGAACTGAATATGATATACATATACTAACATATGTAAAAATGGATCATGCATATTTATTTTTATTTCATTGACTTTGTCGTAACTCGTAATTGTTTAAGTTTCATTTTCAGATTCCCCTTATAAATAAGCATATAATTTTGATGTCCCCCAAGTGAAACGCAAACGCGTTTTGAATTGAAATGAGTGACCGAAGTTCGGTCAACACAACAAACCCAGTCAAACTCTCCCCCTTTCTTGTTAACGCCTCTCAATTTCACGCGGCATTTGGAGTACACTTTGATAGGGAATATAGTAATTATTTTTGAAAAAAAATATATTTTTTTAATTAAATATAAACAATATATTTAATACTTAAATATTTATTTGTGTTTATAAATATGTTTATCTTTTTTTAGTCCATGATTTTTCCCATTTTTTATTCATGTAAATCTATTTTTTTATTTTCATTTTTCGTTTTAGTATTTTTTTTAATTTTTAGGTCATTTATTTTACTATAAACATGGCACTATTGTTGATTGTAGTTATGTGATACAAAAGGACATAATGTTTTATTCACATAAAACATTATCTCAATAAGTCAATGTTTTTGTATTTTAGTGTTAAATGACAGAAATTAAAAAGCAAACGTTTGACATTTATGTCAATGATTTAAAAAAAAAAATCATAGAGGCAAAAAATTATAAAAAAGTTGAATTTTATGAAACTATATTTGAAAAACATTTTTGCAATTTTAATAACATACTTAAAACTTAAACTAATATCTTAATGGTCATTAAATGAATATTTACCTTAATAAAAATAATAAGAAAAAGTTAGTTAATTTGTGTGATTATAATAATTCCAAGTCTAATGTAAAATTTGAATCGACTTATTTAATTAAAAGAGTGACTTATTTCAAAAAAACTTATTTAGAGTTTACTTTATAATAGATAAATCTTTTAAAATAAATAATAAAACTTATATTTAGATTATATAACAAAATCAAACATTTTTTTTGTACATAAAAGTTTAGGAGTTAAATCCTAGAGCTCACTAAAGTCAATACCGGGGAATTAAACTCATATCAATACAAGATGAATGATCTTTTAAATTAACTAAAATGTATGATCGCATTTTTTTTTAATTTCATTAAAATTTGTTAGTATTTTTTTGTTATCCTAAAAGTTAAGAAAATAAAATGATATCATAGTCAAATATATGAAAAGTTTATGGACCCAAAAAATCACATAAGAAAATTTTGCATTTATTGCCTAGTTTCAAAGAGGTGAGCGAGAGTTCAAACTTGAACCATATCACATACAAGATTTTGTCTCCCCTCACTTGACAAATCCCTTTTGAGTTCATTAAATATTTAATATAATAGTGATGTATTATTATAAGCTTATATAATAATAATTTTAACAAGCTAATTTATTAAATTTAAATATTATTTTTGTATTCTTCCCAAATATATTTGGACTCAGTATTATCAATATCACTTATATGGAGATCATTTAAAACTAGTTCTTACACCTTTTTTAGGTTTAAGGTTGGTGAACTAGTGTACTTACACAAATACATTATGACTTGATACTATTAACATTGTCTATATGAAGATTGTTTAAAACAAACTCTTACGCACTTAGAACCAATGAATAAGTGTACCATCTCGAATATAATTCGACACGGATACACCAAGATGATATAGGTGAAGACACATAACCTATTATTTAATTTATTACAAAGATCTAATTAAAATCGACAGCATCACTTAATGGATTGATTATAGTAAAAATAGGGATTAAACGTAATAAATCGACTTCTTATACTTAACATGTTATCTATCAATCACATCTAAGAGCATCTCCAATGGAGGTTGCTTATAAGCAATCCCTTGTGCCACATCACTGCCAAATCAGCTCTAACTCACTTTATGAGTTGCTTAAATTTTAGTAGAGTTGCTTCTACAAGCAACTCTGCTAAAATTTAAACAACTCATAAAATAGGTCAGAGCTGATTTAGCAGTGATGTAGCACAGCGAGTTGCTTATAAACAACCCCCCATTACATATGCTATAAGAAAAGTTAGAATTAGTTTAACCCTATAAAATCTAGACCAAATATTATTTTTAATGATTAAGATAATATGTTAAGATATGATACCTAAATTACTTTATCAAGTCTCAAAATTTTTGGGGCTTATAAACCTATAATCAATCAATAGTCTTAGGATAAGAAAATAGAGATTACACTTTTGAGTTATAAGTTTTCAACGATCCATTCAACCTATATTCATCTGTACGTGTAAGCTTTTAAAGCAGTTATTGTCCTTTTATTTAAGGTAATTTAATATTGTATTTTCCAAAACGATTGAAATGGTAAAGGTAACGATTTTTGGCTGCCAATATATTTGATGTCCACTTTTTTTATTTATTAAATTTATATAATTTAAAAAGTAGCCCATATCCTTGCGACCTGAAGCATAGCGCGTTAATAGTTAATATATAGATTTGTCATATTGTAGCAAACAGTGAACAGAGTCCTTTAGCATTAATGAATAAATTTAAAAAATAGAAAAATGAAGGTTATATATGCAAAATATTGAAGAAGGCCTTGGTTGAAAGTTGAAAGTTCTCCCATTCGAGAGCAGAGTCGAGACTGGTCTCTGGAAGGAAGAAAAAAAACATTATTCCATTGGATCGACATGTTTTCCAACGAAGTTTCACCGTAAGTCCTCACACTCTCTCTTATTATTCCAATCAAACCACTTGTTAGTTCAGACCAATCATTCATCCCTCACAGGTTTGAGTCACGCGAGATGCTCGCCACCTTCGTCTCCTCCACGCCGCTGCTGCCGGACTCATGGCGCCTCTGCACGCAGGCCAACGCCACTCCTTTCCGCTCCTTCCTCGTCCACCGTGTCGCCTCCGCCGTCTACGTCGCTTTCTCCGGCGTCCACACCGCCGCCGGCTCCGACTCCAGCTGGAGAAGCCTCGCGCCGCTCCACACCATCGGCGGCCTCCCTCTCTTCGCCTCGCGCCCGACCAGGGAAGGGGAGGACCCCGTCATGGTTCACGCCGGGATGCTCAATCTCTTCTTCTCGCTTTTCGATTCATTCCAAAACCAGGTTCCTTTTCGCTTTCCAATTCTCACTATTTTTTATGCTATTCTGTTGAGTAAGCCATTGATTATATTCAAATTACTTGTTAATTTTTATTAAAATAGCTAATATATCTGAACCTCAGCTGAATTAAATGAAACAAGAAACTCAATTACGCAAGGTTGAACAAGATAGAGGGAATTGTAATTAAAACATGCATGACGCTGCTGTATGATTTTCAGATTTTGTCATTAGTTCTGATTTTGAGATAAGTGATGATTTGTGCTAACATTTTTTTTTTTGTTTTTTGTGTGTGTTCTTCTCTCATTGGTATGCGTTAGTGCGAATCGCAACTTTTGGCTCATTCATTGATATAACAAGCAAAAATGAAAAGAACAAAAGAGATTAAGTGAATCTCAATAAAATCCAGAAAAAGAAAAAAGTTGAAAGGGGCCCTAGTTAGATAAACTCCGTCGTCTATCCCATCGCATTTTCACTCTTCTTTCTCAGCTATGAAGCTATGAATGTGGCCGAGAGAAAAGAGAAAACAAGGGGAAATTTATGTTCAACACGTATATATTATATATTTTATTAACAAATCCTAATAATTAGTTTAATTTATTATAACTATAACTGAAAAGAGACAAAATAGCATATCAATTTAATGATATTGAATTTTTTTAAATTGTAAGTATTATGTTTAGGAATAAAAAAAATTAAATTATTACATCATGTTTGATATATTATTATTTTTTGTTTATCGGCAGCACAACAAAGTTGAAATATAATATCTAATCGGTAGGATAACAAAGTTGAAATATTATACATACGATCCTAGTGGTTTTATTATTATTTCTTTTAGTGACCAAAAAGTAACATAAAGTTTTTTTATGATAAAAATGTAATCATTATATTAGAAATACAAAAATTATTCAAAATTAAATTTTTTCTTACAAAATCTATGGGAGGTATAAAAACACGAACATGACAAAAAATACACAACCTTATCAGCTCAACTAAATTCCATCGAGTTCAGTTGTCCCTTTGTTCTATTTTACAGCCATTTTTGTCAAGAAAATAGGAGCCGAGTGAGCTTTCCCGAAAAGTTGCATTCCGTGTCGGTTCGTATCGTGGTTGGGGGATGATGGCTTTGGTATTTACTATTTAGCATTAAATAATAAATATCATAATCGTAATAATGTATAAAAAGCAAAGAACATTTTTGCAATGTGAACGACCTCATATTCTCAGACATGGGCCCCTAAGGGTAAGGCCCATCGTTTCCTACAAGAACGGCTAACAACCAAGCCACTTAGCCATCTTCATCAAAGGGGTCCAAGATTCCAATTTGTAATGGTTGACTTTTACTTTTAAGTAACAGTTGCTTCCATCACGCCATAAACAAAGACGAGAGTGGGATCAATTTTTGGAGTAAATAATTCAAAGTAAAACTTCCATTATCCTCCTTCAATGCCGTCATCATTATTATACCAGAGCGTTTGTTAATGGACAAATATCTATGACACAGCAATTTGTCTTCATCACTACTAGTTAACCAGTGAAATCAACCCTGACAAGTTATTTTTAAATTCTCAGGTAGCATTTTATTCGTTATTTTCTATTTCTTTCGGGAGGTAAAAGAAAAAAAAAATTAATTTTTTTTTTACCATGATTTAGAAATAAATTATATAAAACTGCAAATAAAATAAGATGAGTTTAATTTCTATTCACTGACCTATTAATTAATTACAAATCATGGAAGATATAAATTTTAAGGTGACTAGTGTAAAAGTCAACCAATTTAGCAATAGGAAGACAGTATAAAAAGTAAAAACTGTGTATATGCTATTTTTTCAAATCAGATATAGATAACACATCAAACAATATCTGATTGACAAAATATGTCTTTGTGATTTGGGTTGGTTAAATACTTAAATCCAACTTTTCTTACTATAGTTGTTTTAGACTTGATAATTATCACACCAGAATAAGATATCTCCTTCATATCAACTTTATATAATCATGCCAAAGTTGGGGTTGGGGACAATGGCCTTTCTGGTGTACAAGACTATAACTTGCACTTCTCATTTTTCAATGATTCGGGAGCAAGAAAACAAGGCTCGAGCCGTGCCGTAGTGGACTCTCTTGACTCTACCATGCTCCCATGTCACCAACCTTAGCAAATTCAACAAAAAGAATTGACTGGGTCAATTTTGGGAGTGACCTTTTCACATAGAGAAAATATTCAACAGACTATATATGCGTTTGAATTATGGTTAAAAAGTTATAAAGTTTGTTTATAATTTTAACTCAACAGAATGAGGAAAAAAAACTACCAAATATATAAGCACGATGTTCAATACCAACTAACGAGTTACAAATTTCGAACTCCAAATCAAACATACCCAATAAAAAGTATCATATTTATATTTCACGCCAAAGGACCGTAACTTTATGTCGTACCAAGTCTTTTAAATTTGAGATGATTGCCACTTTATGACTTTTTCCTTTTCTTCTTTTATAAGCACGTCATACTAACTGAAATTAAATCCCAAGTTTTTATTCATCAGTAGTTTTTCAAATTAAAATCTTTAAAAATGACATTTGTTTTTGTTCTTCAAAATTCGTTCACTGGAATCGTACTCATATTCTTAACTAACTGTTGAAAATAACGTGGTAATGCAGTTGTTGGAAATAGTGGGAAACAAAGACACTAAATCAGTTGTGATCACTGGACATTCCATTGGAGGAGCCACTGCCTCTCTGTGCACTCTTTGGCTTCTATCTTACCTCCAATCCATCTCTTCCTCCGTGTCAATCTTGTGTATCACTTATGGGGCACCATTGCTTGGGAACGAGTCCTTTTACAAAACCATTTCCAAAGAAAGATGGGGCGGCAACTTCTGCCACGTGGTGTCAAAGCATGACATAATGCCGAGGTTGCTCTTTGCCCCCATAACCTCACTCACTACTCAGCTAAATTACCTGCTACAGTTTTGGCACTTGTCCATGACTTCACCGGATTTTGGGAAGCTTGCAAACCAGATATCTGACAAAGAGAAAGCCAAGTTGTTCACTGCTGTAATGGATTACTTGGAGGCAGCAACACAAGAAGGAGAAACATCAGTGCCAATTTTGTTTCACCCTTTTGGGAACTACTTTTTTGTCTCGGAAGAAGGAGCGGTGTGTGTTGATAGTCCAGCCGCAATTATAAAGTTGATGCACTTGATGCTTGCAACTAGTTCTCCGGCTAGTAGTATTGAGGATCATCTGAAGTATGGAGATTATGTTAACAAAATGTCTTCACAAGCATTGTATCAGAGAAACTCCATGCAGAGGAACATTCCTGACTCGAGCTATGAAGCGGGGCTTCAATTGGCTATCCAGTCTTCTGGCATAGCAAACCAGGTAATTGCAATATTTTTTACTATTAGAGATGCAATATAAAATGATTCATATCAGTACCCAACCCTTAAATCTTTTTGGGTCTGTAGATTAAGATTCTAAAAGATTTAGTGGTACTTAAATGGGCCTAAACATTATCACCAAAACAACTTAAGCTTTTTGAATAGGTGGATGATGTCAATAACCTGTCTCTTCTTTAAACCTTCAAATACCAATTTCCAATCTATTTTTTCATTTCATTCAAAGTAGGAAGAATAAATCTCCACTTTTTTCTTAGATTATCCGCGTGTCAATAGCATGTTTCCTAACAATGGATCCATGTCCACAGAAGCAATTTATAGCTTCTACATTTTTTCATATCTGACATGAAAAAAAGATTGCGAGTCTTTAGTTGGGGATGTGTATCCAAACACACAATATAACCACCATCTTGTACAAATCACTTTTTTTATTTATTTATTATTATTTGCAAAGGTATCATTTCTTCACTTTAGTTAGTCCTTTCTTCCAACATTTTTCATTAACAATAAAGATCAAGTCTAACTGAGTTAGTCTTTGTAAAGTTAAAGACTAAAGTGATTATGACTTGCAATTTCAAGAACTATAGTGGGGTTTACTCTATTGGGAAAGCAGCGTCTATGACTTTTGCAGTGCCTTCTAATTTATACAGTTATATACCTATATTTGCCACGCATGATTATTTTCACTGAACAATTTACTGCAATGTAACCAACAGGAGTCAGCTATTATATCCGCCAAGGAATGTCTGAAGACAACAAGGAGAATGGGTCCTTCACCAACTTTGAATGCTGCAAGCCTAGCAGTTAGCTTATCCAAGGTCGTACCTTACAGAGCTCAAATAGAATGGTACAAGACTTGGTGCGATGAGCAAGACGACCAAATGGGTTATTACGACTCATTCAAAAGTAGGGGCTCTTCCAGTTCCAAAAGGGACATGAAAGTCAACATAAATCGTTGCAAGCTTGCCAGGTTTTGGAACAACATTATTGACATGTTGGAAAGAGGTGAGCTGCCTCATGATTTTGACAAGAGAGCCAAGTGGGTCAATACTTCACACTTCTATAAACTATTGGTTGAGCCACTAGACATTGCTGAATATTATGGGAAGGGGATGCATATAACCAAGGGCCATTACATGCAGCATGGTAGAGAGAGAAGATATGAGATTTTTGATAGGTGGTGGAAGGATAAAACGGTTAGTACTGGTAGAGAAGAAAACAAGGAAAGGAGCAAGTTTGCGAGTTTGACACAAGATTCATGCTTTTGGGCTAGGGTGGAAGAAGCAAGGGACTGGTTGAATTGTGTTAGAAGCGAGAGAGACACCAACAAGTTGGCTCTATTGTGGGATAAAATAGAAAACTTTGAGAAGTATGCCATAAATTTAATTGAAAATAAGGAAGTGTCTAGTGATGTTCTCTTTAAGAATTCAAGTTACAGTATATGGGTGGGGGATTTAAGAGAATTGAGACAACCAAAAGCAAAGGTGCAAAGGCTTCCTCATCAGTTTCCGGTTTTCTAGATGGGGAGTAGTTCCTTAGTACGTTATTTGGGATCAGTAAGCTTAACTCATTGCAAGTGTACTATGTATAAGAACTGCTTCCTTCTGCAAAATAACTCGTTTTGCTTGAGTTATGACTTTGTCGCATTAGGATCTCACTTGAATACATATGAGAGCAGGGCAAAGGTGAATCATTAAGATGTTAAGAACTAATGCAATAATATATCATATCTATTACCGGTAACACGAAACGTACAAAACTGAAATTAAGAGTTTTTCAGTGACTAACATTAGCAGTAGATAAAATTTAAATTAAATAAGAATATCCGATTTCCAGTGGTTTTTGTCTTGTACAAATGTTGAGGGTCATTAACATTCAAAGGAAGATTCAAATCCATGAATTTGTGGGTTCCTCAATGATCAAGGAGAGCTGGACCCTCAATTCAATTCCAAACTCGCGATCAAAATTTGAGGGGAATTTATTGTTGAAAAGGCTGAAGGTAACCAACATAAATTGTGCTATTCTCACTCGAGTCCCAGCAATCAGATTTCATTATCTGAGAGATCAAGTGAAAAAAGGAAAATTGAGTTGGTCTACATCAGGCAAGGTAGAAGAACTAGTGGCTCATAACCAAATCATTGAAAGGTGATAGGTTTATGTTGCTTAGACAGAAATTGGGTGGTCATCTAAAAATCTAACTAAGGTGGTGTATTGAGTTTAGATTTTAATAGCAGTTGTAATTGTTAGTCGGTTAGCAACTTAGCACGAGGAGTGATCTTTAATTAGTACTATAGTTGTAATTGTAAGTCAAGTGCTGATATGAAGTGCAGTGAAAATATATTTCTCTTCTCTTATGTGGGATATTTTGTTAGTGAGTGAGAGTTTCAATAGATTAGAGTTTCAACAGAGTTGGTATCCAGAGCTGCCATTGATTCATGAACAATTCAAATGGGAATATTCCAACAACGTTTCGTTTCTTGGATAGAAAGAATATTATGACAGGCGTTGCATTCACACGAAGGTAGTGTTTGACTATCAAGAAGTGCTTGAAATAGTCTAGTATGTGATTAGAAAATTGGGACAGAACCCAACTGTGTTGTGTGACTTCAGACATTGTTGGAGCGAATGCATTTAGAGGTGAAGCAACCTATGGTGTTGGCTGTGGACAATGTTTTAGTAATAAACTTGGCAATGAATTCAATTGCATATTGAAGGTGAAAACGTATAGAGACCAAATTTAAATATTTGAGAGATCAAGTGAATAAAGGGAAGATTGAACCGACGTACTTCAAGATAGTATAACAAGTGGTTGATATCATAACCAAATCACTGAAGGGTGATAGGTTTATGTTGCTTACAGTGATCAAGTATTGTATCATGTGAAAATCTGAATTAAGAAAGTGTGTCGAGTATGATTCAGATTTTAATGTTAGTTATTTATGACTGCCATAACTATGAATCAGTTAACAAGATAAGTACTTTTAATATTTGAATTCACTACAATTATTATTTCAAATGACAAAACTCTCCTTTTGAATACACATCTATTTTGATAAGGAGGCGTGTTGCGTGTCTAAGCTGAAAGAGAACTTGAGAGTTGATTGTGCTCAAGTACAAGGGATGTCATGTGCTTGCACAAGATAAAAACATTTCTTATCAACTTTGACCTCATTTTTATAGTAATGGGCAGAAGAGTAATTTACAAGTGATGTTGTGATGAATGAACTGAAGGAATTAATGCATGATACGCGTTTAGGAGAGACCCACTAATAATTAAGGGACATCTTTAAAGATGTAAAGGATCAAGGTGGGACAGAATAACGATGAAAGTTAGCAACACTTGAGAAAGGAATAATTTACTACAGCTGTTAAATTCAAATGGAATGAAATGTTTGTAGGGAAGCGGGTATAAGTGCTCTATGGACAAGCCATTTTATTTCCAAAAAAAAAATTCACCTAATTTTTAAATTCGCATATCAAATTTTTAAAACTTTACACATTTTATCATTTTATTAGTTGATCGCTTAACACATAAAATATTGACGACATAACACACTAATTACTAATATAATAAATTAACTAACATAAACTAATGTGACATACAAATGATAATATGACACATTATATTATGTTAACAAATCATGTTAACAATTAAGTTATCAAATCAATAGTCAATGTGTTATATCAACAATTAATTAATTGATTACATTTAACAATTAACTAAAGGTAACAAAATATGCAAATTTTGAAAGTTAAAAGGCAAAAAGTGCATATTCAAAAGTTTAAGTAGCAAAATTGTGAAACATGAGTAATAAAAAGTGAAATTAAGTTTCTTTTATATATATATATTTTATTAGGTAAAAAAGAAATTATATATATATATATATATATAAATCAAGTCTTAATAAACTTATTTCCTTCAATAATATATATTTTTTGTCAAATTTTAATGATCTAATTATTAAATTAAAAGTTCTTAATGTATAGATCAAGTTTTTAAATTTTAATTTCTTTTAAAATTATTTGATATTCATTTCATTAGTTCAAATTGATAGATAGTCATAAAAATATTTTATACGTTAATTTAAATATATATAAAGAAGTATCAAATGACTTTCAAATTTTTTTGAAAAAAATTGTAGGCATGATTTATACAAAATATAAGTTATTGAGTGAAATAAATTTACCAAAATTTACTTTTTTTGAGTAAATGGGTCCCTCATCTCTCTTTTATATATATATAT